TTCTTTTACTGTTTTCTGGCTTCTGTTTATTTCTTATATTCTGCAATTTAAAGTCTAGATAATGTGTAAGAGTTCTGGTTATTTGAAATTTTGTATGTTTTCCATAGAAAGTGAAACAGTTAAAATATCTCCCACATGGCAGCTCACAACCATCCAGAACTCTAGTTCCAGGGGATCCGATACCTTCTTCTGACCTCTGCAGACACACACATGATTCACAGACTACTTATACGTAAGCAAAATACTCATATGCAGTAAAATCAATCTTTAAAAAGAACCTTAGAACTAATCTCTCTACTTTTGTTTATTTGGCTTTTAATATACTGATATGTACCCGTCCCATAAATAACGAAATAAATTGAAAGTGAACCTCTGGTTCACTTTTAGCAAGGTCACAGATAATTAGGGTCCGAGCCATTGTCAAATGTAAGACCATCTGGAATGGGGAGATAAGCCGGTAAAATACCTGCTTTGCAAGGGTGAGGACCTGAATTTGGGCATGGCAACAAGGCTCACCTTAGGCTGAGGCTGTGGAGGCAGGGGAGCTGGCTTGCCAGTCAACCTAGGCAAAGCCTTTTGTCTCCGGGTTTAGTAAACGAGAGACTGACCGATAGAAGAAGCTGCCAGGCCTTGACTTCTGGCCCAGCACACCAGCGTACACATTTATCTCACACCATGCACACACGACAATCAAATAGGCTATTGAACTTAATAAAGACAAAGTTTGAGCTTGCAGTATGTTAAGTTGTCCCCAAACTGCTCTGACATTTGTTTTCAGATCAGTGTTTGGAAGAAGTTTAGTTTGGTAAGAAGCTCGAGGAGTCCCAGGTGAAGGAGTGGTAATGCCACCAAGGGGAAGTTTCCCGACTTCAGATGGAAGCTGTGTTTGCTTTTCAGTTGGCCACCAACCAAGGGAATCACGTGTCTGGATTGATGATGTTACTAAAAGTACTCATTTATAATTAACAATATAGAAAACCTTACTTGTACCCAAGTTAAAACTTTGTAAATATAAACAATTTCCGTTGCCTATTTGTCCCTTAGACTTGACATTTGCCATATAGAATTGTATAAAGACCATTGTATGGTTATGGGAAAAGTAACTGTTACTAAGTCACATGTGATTTATCCAGTTCTCAAGTCCTTTTTAGATTGTATAGCAGGGATTGTTTGAGAGTATTCTAATGAATATGTTTCTGAACATAGCTAATATTACCTCTTATCTCTTCATGTGGAATAATGATATCATTATCTCCATTTACTCAATACAAACATTATATCTAAGTCTTGTAAAATAGTGCTCAAAATATGCTATTATAATTGTTCATTAATCATTGTTAGTACCCTGTGTTGAGAATTAGAAGGGGAAGGAGAGAGGAAAGAAACGCCGCTCTTCTCTGTTAGCTGGAACGGTGACTGGCAGGAAAGTTGTAGCACGGCAATGATCCTAAAGTGCTTCCCAGAAATGTGGACACTGTTGCTGGCTTATGATCACTAGCTTGATTCCCATAGCAATGTAAAGTTTTTCTTGTGTTTGTTTTTTTGTCTTCTTTCGGGACAAGGTTTCACTGTGTAGCTCTGGCTATCCTGGAACTTACTATGTAGACCAGACTGGCCTCAAATTCACAGAGATCCACCTGCCTCAGCAGGATTAAAGGTGTACATCATTACCACTTGGCTTAACGTTTTTTTTTAAGTAGTTATTTTTATGAAGTTTCAGAATTTTTCATTTGATAAAATTAGGTCTTTTAATTATTCCATATTTGATTTTTAAAATGCAGATATTGTGTGTGTGTGTGTGTGTGTGTGTGTGTGTGTAAGTAATAGGTTATATGACCCAGTGTTAAAGGTCATAGAATCGGGAACCAGACTACCTGGACTTCAATTCTGTCTCATCACTCACTAGGTACCGTCCAAAAGTGCTAATATGCTTCTGTACTTTAATTCCTTAAATCTATAAGTGGGGATTATAATAGTCCTTGTTTTGAGGATTAAGTGAATACTAGTAAGTACTGTAAAAGTAGCATTATTACTCTTGGCTATTTATTGCCTACCTTACTCATCCAAGTATGTGTACATTTTACCATTGACTCACATCTCTAGCCCAGCGGCTGGTTTTTAAGATAGGGTCTCACTATGTAGCTCTGACTGTCCCCTGATATTTCAGTTTGAATATTCTTGTACTAAAATTTCCCAAGATCAGACAATATCTCTTACAAAAATATTTTCTTATCAAGTGTTCAAAAATAGAAATCCTGCTAAGTACCATGAAAGCCGCGCCTGTGGTTTTTGGTTTTCTTCTTTTTGTTTGTTAGCTTAATTTAAGCATATCTATAAAAGAGATTCCTAAAGGATCATGACTCCCTCACACACCAAGCTTTCTCAGTGTTGGAACCATATTTTATTTCATCTTTAAATCACCCAAACCTAAAATTTGCCTAATGTTTATTTGGTAGCTACATTGGGGGAGGGGGGGAAGGTGGGCACAATTGTACGTACTTTTTAGGTAGCTGATCAAATAGACATCTTTTAGGATCCTAACAGATGTGTGAACTTTGGAGTTAGTTATCTAACCTATCTTTTATTTCACTGAAGCACATGTAAAGTTGTGTTACTGGTTTTGTAAAAATAATGACATTATTATTTTTAAAAAGTCTGGATACTTGCCTAAACACTTCATTGGTTTTCACAATTACATCAGTATGTTCCAATAGTTTGGACAAGAATAAGTGTAATATAAACATTTTGCTGTATTTACTTAGTCATGTTCTTTTTGTTGTGGATTTAGCACATTGAAGAGAACACTGCAGATACGAGTGTAGTCTTGATTGTGTTACATAATGCCATTTTTGTGCCTTTTGTACAGTTTTCTGGTTCATATTTTCCTGCTAGACATACAGGAAATGACACTTGTTTGCTTTAACCCTATATAGAGATGGTATTTGCATACTTAATATTCTTTACTCAAACTTTTTGTGAAAATGAGGTTGTCTCTGGGTGGTGAAATTTCTGTGGTCTGTGCTTATTTTCAACTCTGCCAAATGACATCATTGTCCTCCAGATGGCCAGACATTTACCAGCTCACCAGCAATGTGGGGCATTCTCACTACTTTATATTCTTACTACTTTTGCTGATCTTATGAGTTTGAAATAGCATTCCTTGATATTTCAATTTGTATTATCTGATAACTAGTGTACTTGATCCTCTTTACACATGTTGTTAGCCACTTGAATTTCCACATGAGTACTTTTCCATTTTTTAATTTTAGAAAGTATTCATTTTCATTGCATATTTTTATCATGATCAGTATTGTGGGTTTTTTTGGTGTATGTGCAGTTTTTAATTCTCAAAGTCTATATATTCATGAAGATTCTTCCCCTTAGTGACTAAGGCTAACTAGGATTTCAGCTATTCTAGGTTGAATAATGCAGTCTTCTCAGATTTGTTCCCTGTGTCTGTTTTGCAGCCAGTACTTTTCTTCATTTTACTCAAACATGCCTTGGGAGATGATAAGTTAGTGATACTCAGGGGAGTGAATCAGAAATGCAACAGAACATGAGTGAAAGCGGACAGTTTTATACAATTGAAATAACCATGTGTAAAAACATGAAAGTATTCTCAGGACCCTGTCTTTTTAAAATTAGAAGTGCATTTTAGACTTGTCATTGGACAACCAAAGACCTGTTGTTTGATGTTGTCAGTGCTGCAGGTGTTTGCCATTGCACAGGTTGTGTATTCGAGATTCCAGCAGAGCCTTTTCTGGCCCTGAATACTTGAGGTGGTCCTGTGCCTCCTCTAAGAGCACTGAATTAACAACTGAAAATTTCTCCAGCCAGTGTCTTTGATTAGTGCTTTTAAAAGGGACTCTGTTTCTTTACTAATTTATATCTCTCTGTGTGAAATGTCACACCGAGATTTCTGAAACTTATTGAATTGGGGTCTTCTGTTCATTTTATCCTGATTTAAGACTTGAGTTTCTATACTTAGTTAACAGTCCCTTAAAAATCTTGGTTTCTGTTCTAGGAAGTGTGCTCCTTGTGAAATTGTACTATACCAGTACGTCTCAGCCAAGGATTCATGCTAGTAGACTGTACTTTAAGTCTGTATACTAGGTAGAATGATTAGTCAAGGTTTTATTCTAAAAATTATTCATTTTTATGTGTATGGATGTTTTGCTAGTATGTAAGTCTGTGCACCATGTACATCCCTTGGTGCCCTTTGAAGACCAGAAGGATCCCTGATACTACTTGAGTTACAAACAATTGTGAGATACCATGTGGTTTCTGGGAATCAAATCCAGGTCCTCTGAAAGAGGAACCAGTACTTTTAACCTCTAAGCTATCTCTCTAGCCCTCTTAAGGTTTATGGTTTATCCTTACTTTTAAGTGTGTGTGTGTGTGTGTGTGTGTGTGTGTGTGTGTGTGTGTGTGTGTGTGTGTGTGTGTGTGTGTGTTGGTATATACCAGGAGGCCAGAGGTGTTGGATCCCCTGAATCTGGAATTAGAAGTAGTTGTGAGCACCCCCTGATACAGAAGCTGGGGGCCGAATGTGGGTCCTCTGCTGAGCCATCACAGTAATACAGACTTTGTGTTTCAGTTTCAAGTCTTCATAGTAAAATAGTATGTGGTATTAGGTATATCTGAAGCTTTAACTTCGGAATTTTTTTAGCATGATAAAGAAGACTCAGTTTGGTTTAGACGTGTGTTTTTAAAGTTTATTTAAAAAATAGTGTGCTTGGGTGGAGAAATGGCTCATGGGTTAAAGAGCACTGGCTGCTTTTCCAGAGGACTGAGGTTGATTTCCCAGTGCCCATGGGACAGTTCACAACCTCTCTAATTCCAGTTCCAAAGGATCTAATGCCTTTCCTGGTTTCCATGGTAACCAGATATGCATATAAGCAAAACACTTACTATTGTATGTATTACATACAATAATAAAATCTTTAAAATTAAAATAAAGAGACTGTGAAAAACTTATTATTTTTCTCTATTACTTTCAGCTCCATTTACCTCTTAATTCTCCTTTGCCTGGAAGTGAATTGACCAAGGAACCTTTTCGTTGGGATCAGAGACTTTTTGCTTTAGTACTGCGGTTGCCTGGCACCATGTCAGTAGAATCAGAACAGTTGACAGGTGTGCCTTTGGATGATTCTGCTATAACACCAATGTGTGAAGTGACAGGAGGTAAGCCTTTTAAAACAATGTATCTGAATAGGCTAGAATGTCCATTTCAAAATTTGCATGTTTATTTTTGTCAAAAAGCATTGACAGACCTGTAGTTTTAAAATTGCATGTGTTGATGATGGTCTGTGGTCTTAACAAGTCAATAATTGTAGTTATTGTTAGATTTCATGAATGTTAATTTTCATACTTATGTAGCAGATGGTGGTATTTGAAGTTGTTAAGTTGTCTACAGTGATCACCAATGATCTAGCTGGCATGGTGGTGCACACCTTTAGTCCCAACCCTGAGGGAGGCGTAAGCAGGTGGATCTGTGAGTTCCCAACTAGCAAGGGCTGGCGACATAGTGATTCCCTGTCTCAGAATAGAAATGTTGTAGACAGCCATTAATTAATGGATTAGAAAATATAAACAAGTTATAATCTTAATGTGAAATAAAATTGTTAAAGATTTTATAGAAATTAGAGAAAATGAATAAATAAATCACTTTATAAACAAAATTCTATTAATCTGCCCTTACAAACTGACTCTTATTCTATGTAATATATTCCTCTTATGATTATTGTTTAGGTCATATCTCTTCTCTTATAATGGTTGATAATTTCTACCCAAAGCATAGAAGTCTCTAGAATCGGTCATTTTTAACTGTGTGAATATGAAGTATATTATTGCACAAGTTAAGAGGTTGGCTTATATTCAGTTATTTAAAAAAAGTTTGGCCTTATTAAATATAATAAACCTGGAGTCAACATGAGCATCTGAATAAAACAATAAAGAGTCAAAAGAGATTTTGTGAGTTAGGCCAAAGGGACAAAGGAAGGTACTTATTAAATCTAGAAAAATCTGTAAGTGATTTTTCATAAAATGCCTTTATCTTTTGAGTAATATGTGTTGGATGCTTTTAATTTGCTATCATACCCAAACCTCCCAGTGTGCACAAGTGACTGACGGCCCTGTAGTTCATCTCTTCAACTCAAGACAAATGGAGCACCTTGGGAATCATCCTTGGTTCTTCTTGCATCAAAGTACCTCCTGCCACCTCCAAATCTGGCGACCTAGATAGACCAAAGTATAATGGTCCCTTTCTGGTCCTGCTGCTTCCCTTTTCCATTGTACAATACTGTCTCATTGAAAAGCTGGTCTGAGCCTGGCCTCGCACGTGCACACGCGGCTTTATTCCTAGCACTTGGGAGGCAGAGGCAGGCAGGTCTTTAAGAAGTGTGTGGGGGTTGGGGATTTAGCTCAGTGGTAGAGCGCTTGCTAGCAAGCGCAAGGCCCTGGGTTCGGTCCTAAGCTCTGGGGGAAAAAAAAAGAAGTCTGACCTCCTGCTTGTAAAATGGCTTTCTATATTTGGCGAATAAACACTACTTATTATGACCTGGAAGACACTTAGTCAATATTATGTTGTGTCTCCACCCCTTCCCCAAGCCCGTCTCTCTAAATTGAGCACTTCTCCCCATGTAAGCACACAGTATATGCTGCCAAATGCATGCAGTATGTCCTTTCCTGTACTACATTTTCTCTTTCCAGATCTTCTTGTAGTTCATTGTATTTTTCAGGTTCCTGGTTCAAGTGTAACTTTCTCAGAAGAAACTTAGCAAAAAATACTCATTGTCAACCCTATTACTACTATCTACATGTTAAAATAAATTAAATAGTTAAAATTAGCAGTAACTGCTAGACCAGTTGAATAATTATCATCGCCTCTATACTTAGCATTTGTTTTAGGAATAATAACTTTTGTTAAAGAAGAAGAAGAGTTTTGGAGGATTTTATTACTGCTAGATGTTGTGTTTATGTATGTCTGCTAAAGATAAATTATATTGGCTAACAGTTGGCAATAACAGCACTTTATAAAGGTAGATAGATACCTGACTTTTTCCCCTTTGTGATTTGCTCAGTTCAGGGTTTCTCTATGTTCCATATACCTATAGTTAGAAGAAAATACTTATATTCTCACCTACAATGAGATTGTTGGTTGGGAATAATAATTTTTTGCTTATTCTTCCTTAAAATTGGGAAATACCTACCTTTACATTGAATTTCTATTAATGTTGTCAGAAACCCTACTGTAGTTTTTCCAGGGAGTGGACTTCTTACAACTAACTAATTTGCTTCATTCTCTTTATCTCAGGCCGCTCATACTCTGTGTGTTCTCCAAGAATGCTTAATCAGTGTCTGGAGTCCTTGGTGCAGAAAGTGCAGAGTGGGGTGGTAATAAACTTTGAAAAGGCAGGACCAGATCCTTCCCCTGTAGAAGGTATTGTTTTATTTTTCTTAGTC